GGGGTGAGTATAATACCTAAGAATGTCGTTTCGACACCTTAGCAAGGAATCGTTCTAGACTCTGTACGTACACCTGTACGTCAGGCCCACACTGGAGCATGCAACACCAGTATGGAACCCACAACTGGCCAAGCACGTCAATAAATTAGTGTCTGCCCATAATGCCTAGGTATGATAGTGGCTCTCTTTGCACTGCAGCTCATTATTGTAATTTCATAATCTCAATGTAATCTCGCGAGGAAATAAAAATTGATTGATTAAGGTCATGGAGCAGGGAGAGAGTGGACCTAGTAGTGACCAGCGAAGAGGCAGGGCCAGGAGCTGTGAATTGACCTGCAACCACAAATACACAAAAACACAACTATATATCTTAAGCTGTGCAATGTTGCAACGGCAGCAGCAGGAGAAAATGAGGGGAAGGTTTTCAGAGTATGGTTGCGTGGGTGGCACCCGGGATGATCTCACTCTGAATGAGGAAGGACCGACCGAATGCCAACCACCACCAGTCCCACAATACCCAAACCCCATAAGGGTCGGGTGGGGTAGGCCCCACAGGTTACAGACAGCATAAGAGAGAGTAACCAGGAGACAGTTAATAGCCAGCCCTAAACTTCTAACCGCTGGTTACAGCTCATGTGACGTAAGTTGCATTACAATAATGGATCATTTATTTACAGGATGTAGCTATTGTGTATAATCTTCTAACTAATGAAATAGACGGAATCGAATCGAAGAAGACGACGAGAGCTGTCGTGAGATAAGAAGGATAAGGAAGGATGGAAATAACTGGAAAAGGATGGGAAGGAGGGGAAGAGGAGGAATCAAGGCAAGTGGCCCAACCACTTTGGGACATGTGGTACCGAAGTACTGGAGGCGTAGATGGAGAGGCTTGGATGATGTCGGTACTTGGCTAAGAGGATGGCGAAGGCAGCGGCAGGAGCTGGGAGTGTCAGAAGGCAGCAAGCCGGATGGTGGAGGTCGGCTTGAGGTGTGTTAAGTTATTGACCCATTAGAAAGATTCTGGAACGACTTTATTTGCGTGGTCATGAGTTTAAATTTGCGGTCTGGGTCGATCTCTGGAGCATTAAGGAGATTGATGAGTTCTCTAAGGAAGAGAGCACGTGATGGTCTACAGACGAACTTAACTTCGTCGCTCTGGAGCAGGGGAATCAATGTCTTTGCATCCATTTCTTTAGGATTCTCAGGAGTAGTGAAGAAAGAGACTCCACGTATCGTATTATAGTGTTGTTTATCCTTAGACTGAGCTACAAGTGAGGTCGATGATTGGTCAGTTTTGTTGGGGTTGGAAGACGAGGACGCTGCTCGTGTCTTGATGGATGTGGTGGCTGGCGTTGGAGGCGGTTCTCATTGGTGGAGGAAGGTGGAGGCACGTGAGGCATTGAGGGCTCTGATTGGTTCTTGGCAGTGGCTGTGGCTGGAGGAGGTGGTGGTCTCTCATTGGTGGATTACGAAGTAGAGCCGGTGGTGTCTGCAGAAATCAAATCTTGCAAGTCATCTGGTGCCTCGAAACTGACGATTTTTGGGATAATCTTCAAAACATCAGCTGAAGCAGGACTAGCTTTGAAGCTGAATGATGGCAGATTGTTGAGAGCAAGAATATCATTCATAGTTGTATTAAAACAACCCGGGTTAGCTGCATTTTGCATGTGTGCGTACATCAGGCAGTAGTAGAATTTTGTGGAAATATCGTCTGGTAGAGGAGAGGCTGTGAGTGGTGGAGGTTGCTGAGTGGCTTGTAGAATCTTGGTGGTGGTCGTCTGAAGCTTAGCTATAGCAGTATAAGTAGGAGAGTTTCCTGTAGACTTCTTAGTTTCTTCTTTCAGTTTCTTAGAGACGATATCCTTGCGTACTGGACATTTGGCTGTAAGAGTATGGTGATCACTCTTACAGTTGATGCAAGTGGGAGCAGCAGTGGAAGTGCAAGAACGAAAATTGTGACCTGCAGACCCACAGGTCTTATTCTTCACGTGGGAGTCGGCAGTAGAGTGACTGTACGAGTAGCATGTCCAACAAGGTGTTATGTACGTGAATCGTTCAGGCTCAATCTGTCGAGGGTTGATGTAGTAGTAAGAGATGGCCAGGTCATCAGACAGTGCTCTGGTTGCCATGGTAACGTCCAGGAATGTAACCTTTAGCATCGAGGAAGCGTTGGGGATCTTCACAACAGAGTCAATCTTGGCCCAAGTGTTGAGGTCTTCAAGTGATGACGTAATTTCCTCGATGGACATGTTCGTGATTAGCCTCTCAAGACGTTTCATGAACACTGAACGTTTTGCAAGCATGTATAGTGACGTGGAGATAGTAAAGCCGCGGACTTCTAAGGTCTTCATGGCAGTAGGTGTAAGCACTTTGTCAGCTTCAGCATCATCGAGAAAGCTTCTTTCAGTGAAGTAATCTTGGAGAACTTGGCGTGAAGACAAGTGTTGAGTGAGGTTGCAAGCTCGAGCTTCGTGGTGTCCTGGACGACAGCAGACTTGGGCTTAATTCTCACACGATGTGGCATCGTGGAGATGGTAGAGGTTCCCCTCCCCAACGGGGATCGTAGGGAGACTGTGCAAGTAAGGAGAGCTGCTATGACCTGCCGAGACGAGAGTCAGAAGCAGAGTGTAACCTGTGTCAATTTGTCGTGTATTCATAGACGGAATAAATGCCTTCATTTTGTCAACAGGTAATACCTGATGTCCCAGAACTTTCTAGAATATTCAGGAAATACAGACTATAGCATATTTAGTGGAGTATGTTGTGCACAGTCTTAAAACAATGTTATACAAAAGCACATGACTGCCCATTATGTCAGGGTGTCTCGTGATCTTCCGGTTATGTTCGACCAGAGTCTGCAATATGATCATGGTATGTTCGTCATGAACGTCCATATAATATATAACATCTTGCTAGGTCAGTCACGAACATCGTTATCTAACAGGTTAGGTCTGCCATGACCGTCGTTATAACCCGCTCAGGTACTACTATATAAAGGTGACGTAATGTTACAGATGCTCTACGTGGTGTTGCAATACAGACTACAACATGAGTAATATAACATCAGTAGTAAGGAAGTAGTCATGAGAGTTCATTTAGGTATGGGTGAACATGTACGACCATCCTAGAATAGACCAAAGGACAGGCAGTGACCTATTTGAGGTCGTAACCCGTCAGGGTACAGCGGTACAAGGTACACATAGTTGACTGCAAAAGGGCGATTGAAACTAGTTTAGTGATTTACTGAATTAAGTTGTCAGTAATATAATGATAATGATAACAGTGGTATTAAAAAGAAAAACTCAGGAATTGCCTGGTTATTATAAGAAAGAAAAACCTGAATAGGAGAGATCACACAGGCATATTAAATGACACAGTATTTCCTGAAGATTCCAGAACGTTCTGGGACATCAGGTGACTGTGATCGCGGGTTCTAACCCCACCCATGGTATGGTTTACATCGGGTATTATCAGTTGACAAAACGAGTTTTTTTTCCCTATTTCATTAGTTAGAAGATTGTTCACGTTAGTTACATTATAATTTAACTTCTTACGTCACATGACCTGTTCCCAGCGGTTAGAAGCTTAAGGATGGCTGTTAACGGTCTCCTAGTTATTTTACCTCATGCTATCCACAAACTGTGTGGCCTACCCCCCCATATGGCGTGGGGCGGTGTGTGGTTGGCATTCCGCTGGGTCTTTCTCCCTCAGTCATATATTGGCTGGTCCCACCGCATTAACATACTCTGACAAAACTTACCCTATTTCTCCTGTTGCTGCCCTTGCAACATTGCACAGCTCCTGATGACGCACTAAGAAGTGTGAAAGTACTTGAGCTAAAGATTTCCACCCCATGTGGCTTGTCTTGCACTGTTAAGATCGCCTGTCTGTGATTGTTTTGCATATATATGTCGTGCTGAATAGGTAAAACTTGCGATTTTGGCTTAAACAGCAACTTTCTTCTTGACGAATAAGGCAAGCAAAAATTTGTGTATGCAATAATTTCGCAAAAAAATCATTCTGTTCCTAACGATAAAAATGTACTTCATTTTTTTTGCTTATTATTAAATTATTGTAGACTTATCTAAAATATATTTAGCTGGATTAGGCTAAATTAAATTGCGCTTGTTATAATAAGGTTAGGTAAGTTTTCTAAGGTTCTTTTGGTACAAAATTATTAATATTTACATTAACATAAGTGAAAAAATACATCTTTAAATGTATAAGAGAAATTTTTAGAAAGGACTTAATTTTAAATGAGTTCTTGCTAACTGACCAATTTTACCTATTTATCACTGCCCAGACAACCTTCACTACCACATTTCACTGTAAAATAACACATCTCTTACCTTCCTCACAACGTTCACTGCTTCACTTCTCTAACTCACACATCGTCCCGATCCTTTCCTCGCATTTCTTCACGCTTACAATTTCACTGTTGAACTTCACGTCTACCCAACCCTGGTCACTGCCCACACACAGCCTACACTGACACACTCCACTGAGCTACAACTGCCCTCTCCTCCAGGTACACTGCTCACCAGGTGAACAAATCACCCAGCAGGTAACTAGCATTTCCTGCTTAAACGAGACTACACCTTTTCTGTTAATGATTTCGTAGTACCGTACAGAAGTACGTTTTCGAACAAAAATAATCAAAATAACAATAATAATAATAATTATTATTATTATTATTGTAGCTATTATTGTTCACAAGGAAGCGCTAAACGTGCATGGGTTATTTATCCCTATTTGCTCAAGAAACAAGAACACTGTTAAATAAGGAACTACGAAAGCTTTCTTACAATGTAAACATACAATGTAAAGATACAATGTAAACATACTTTCATTATCAATAAACAATGTAAATCTGACTGCAATGGTCACAATGTTCTCAGTGAAATCTGGATGGTAAATTTTCGTCTTAATTTGGATTAATTTGACACTGTAATGTTTCATATTTATTCTTCTGAAAAAGTAGGAGAAACATCGTTGTTGTTTCCGGTCCTTCATTGGTGGAAAGGAAGAATTAAGACATACATTGGTTTGGTTAATTAAAAGATTTATCAATATAAACAATAAAACTAATATACAAAAACAAGAAGGTAGTGACTGTACACAATAAATACATAGTGTTAATAATCGCTGTGGGCTGGAGACTGGTCTATCGCACCTCCTGCAAGGGATGCCTCACGTCCCTGCCTGGTGGGACGCACCCTCACCCTTGCTCTCACCCTGGTGGCTTCTGTGGCAGTGTCTTCCAAAGGTTCTAACTCGGATGCTAAAGGTTCTAACTCAGCTGCTAAAGGTTCTTCCTCCGCTATGATATCCGCTTCTGGTACTGTTGGGTTTCTCCGTCTAGGGAAGACTGGTCCCGCGGGCTGGGGGCGCTGACGCTCCTGTAAAGTGGACGCCTCAGGGACGTTGTCTTGGGTCTGGTCTGCCTGAGACAAGCGGCGGTTAATGACGGCTGGCTGTCTGTTAGAGTTAATACGGCCAGTGGGTCTAAAGCCACGTTCTGTGTAGTCGTCTCCAGGAAACTCTGTAGTCGTAACACCAGTGTTTGGGCGTACCCTTGAGCCGCTAGACCTACTTGGGGTGAAAGATGGGCGTGCACGACGATCTGGGGCAGCGGTAGTAGTCGTCGTAGTCGTCGGTGATGCCCCTTCATCACCATAGTCATAATAATCATAGTAATCTGGAGACGCCTCAGTAGTGGTGGTAGTGCTGGTAGTAGTTGAAGGCTTCTTTCTCCTTGGGCCTGACTTAGGGCCGGGTCTATTAGGGCGATTTCTTTGGCCTGTTGCTGCATCCTGAAGGAATTCATCCACTGGAGCATCGTCGAAGAACTGCTCTCTAGGGGCGTTACCCTGCTGTAGACGTGAGGATCGGGGGTCACTAAATTCTTCGTTTTCAGGGAACCTGGGCCTCTTGCGGTTCCTCTGGTTGAATCCACCTCCAAACCTCTCTTCGCCACCTTGCTGACCACCTTGCCTTGGTCTGTTGGGACGACGACGACGCGGTGGTCTCTTCGTAGTAGTCGTAGTTGTAGTCGTAGTCTCATCATTGTAATAATCATAGTACTGGTCATAGTTATCATAGTAATCATAATAGTCGTAGTCCGGGGAGGGTGTGGTTGTAGTGGTGGTGCGACGCTTGCCGCTGAAGGGACGCGGACGGTTGGGACGGTTAGGACGGTTATTGCGAATCCTCCCTTGACCTCCGAGTGGGCGTGGCCGAGGCCTGTCTACGTAGATGATCTGAGGAGCAGGGGTCGTCGAGGTCGTAGTGGTTGTCGTCTCATACAGCTCGTCATTTCTGTAAGAGATTTGTGGGTCAGGAGACTGGTCAGCACAAGAGACCACACTCACTTAGAATTGACACACAATTCCAAGTGTCTTAAAGCTGTGAGTGAAAACACCACATAAGTATATATATTAGCAGAAAATACAAAAAAAATGTGTAAGTATTAATAAATTTACACAATTATAAACATTTGCATTCATCACCTATTAAAGTTAGGCTGGAGGGAGTGTTACCTGTCGTAGTGTTTCTCTGAGTTCTCGCAGTCCACCTCGCTCACGTAGTGGCAGATGAAGTTCTTTTGGTCGAAGACGGTGTAGTTGGCGCACAGGAAGTCGTAGCGTACACCGAAGAGGCAGTTGTGGTACACCTGAGGAAGACGAACAGGTAAGTGGCAGTTGTACAATTGGGAAAGACGAACAGGTAAGTGGCAGTTGTGATACACTTAAGGGAGAACGAGATGATGTGTCTTGTTAAAGGACTGGTTTAAAGAGATGGATCCTGAGATGCTGTGAGTACTAAGAACTATCCATCTGTACTCGTACTGATAAACAACGCAAGACAAGTCTTAGGATATAGAATAAGGGAGACTGCGGGGAAGAGTGTTGACAGCGAAAGGGTAGAGGGGGGATGGGGGGAGTAAGGTAGGTAAAGTTTGAAAAGTTGAGATGAGAAAATGTTATAATGTCTGTGGAATGTTGTAAAGACTGGGGAAATGATGTAAGGGATAAGAGAATGTTGTAAGGGATAATGTCAGGACCGGATTTAGTCATGGACCCCGGGGCTAACAATTATGGGGGCCTACCCCTTCCTTTATGATTTATTATTATTATTATTATTATTATTATTATTATTATTATTATTATTATTATTATTATTATTATCAAATTTAAGGACTGCAAGAATATTTTGAGAACTTGAAGAATGTTTGGAGGACTGGATGCGAGTCATCTGGGATCACTAGAGTTACGAGAGCTATATACGTGACTGAGAGGATTGCAAGTCTCAGGGAACAAGAAATTCTGTGAAAACGGAGTTTAGAGACGCAACATGCAGAACACGCTTCTATAGGACCTATGTTTTGCTCAGGATGGGAGATTATGAAGTCATCGAATCTGGAAACTCTATCCTGAGTGGAACGTAGTTACATTACAAGATTTTTTCTAGCGTGTGGGTCGAGAGACACAACATGTCGTCATCACGCGAGTACATTCAGTGACAACTAAAAGTTAATTAACTTTTAACGTGGGTTTATCTCCCATTTTTACACAAGATTTTTTTTCTACCTTGCTTCGTTTCCAGCCCACAGGATGCCACCAGCATCTGACTGAAGCCCTGGTACCTATTTACAGCTAAGTGACTAAAACCTCTTCCCGCTCACCAAGCAGTAAATAGGCACCTGATCGTAAGGGCTTAGGACGCATGCCTCGCCAGCCTGGGAATCGGACTCTTGGATTACAAGAAGAAATTTGAAACAGAGAATTCAGCTAGAAAAGATAATCTATTTTAGAACATACGAAAATATTATGAAGAATTACCGAAACTACAAGGGGAGTAATTTTCTGATCTACGGGAGGTGGGAAGTTGTAGATTATGTGGGAGACTTTTAAGAACTGTGGGATAATGTCCAGCTCCGTGGATCTATGGGGATCTATTGGGGGGGGGGATTTTTTTAAGATCTCTTCAGAGTTTTAGGATCCGTGGAAGGTTTGGAACCTTTGTGGGAGAATTCCAGGATAAGTGGGAGAGTTTTAGGATCAGTGGAAGGTTTTGAACCTTTGTGGGAGAATTCCAGGATCAGTGGGAGAGTTTTAGGATCAGTGGGAGGTTTGAGTAGTGAGATCAAACGGAATCAATTAACAAAATTTATGTCGGGTAGAACAAGATTTGAGAAACGTGGAGTACTTTGTGAGAAGTTAGAAAGTTGTGGGAGAAAGTGAAGAAAAAACTGACCGCTGACTACTTAAGTAGCACAAGGAGAGAACATCATCAGTCAGTGACTAATTAAGTAACACAAGGAGAGAGAACATCAGTCAGTGACTAGCCCAGCAACCCGGTGGGGAAAGGGGGACTACTACCAACAGATCCCTACATGTCTTCCAGCGGGATCTTCAAGTCCTCAAGTCCCATGCTGATCAGCCAGGCTGTGATGCATACGTTGGTCTTCGCGCGGCCAGTACCAAAAACCTGCTTGACCAAGACATATACCGGGAGGCCTAGACTGGGACCAAGCCTCGTGTGTCCGCTCTAATACACTGGTAGCTATTTTTATTGTTTTTATACATTATTATTATTATTATTATTATTATTATTATTATTATTATTATTATTATTATTATTACTGGAGGCAACGCTAAACTCGTAGGGGTAATACAGCGCCTATGGAAGACAGTGAGATTCGAGACGAGGAAGGAAGGAAGGACGGGGGGGTGAGGTAGCTCCAGTTCATCTGATCAAGAGCCCTTCATCGGCATCGAGGCACCACTATCTTGTAATCCTGGTCTCAAAACCACCAACCAGATGCTAACCAATAACAGGGAGTGTATGACCCCTGCGGGTTTAGTGCTTCCCCTTAAATTTAATAATAATAATAATAATAATAATAATTATTATTATTATTATTATTATTATTATTATTATTATTATTAAGACAACTCGGGTAAAGATCTTAGAGCAGCAATCAGTAGTGGTCGAGCTGGAAGCAACAGGTGTGGGAAGGGCCGGGAGCTAGAGGACTTTCAAAATGACAACACGAGAAATGAATAAACCTAAAAATTTCAGCTCACTCGATATTTGGAAAGAAAACCACATAGACCATATGACATACAACAACAACAACAACAACAACAACAACAACAACAACAACAACAACAACAACAACAACAACAACAAACAACAACAACAACAACAATAACAGCAACAGCAACAGAGACATTTACTATTAAGGAATTTCAACCTACATGAGACTTCGCTAAAAGTACATAGAATAGCACGAGTGGCCCACATACTGTACACAGTGCTGGCTGTGTGTGTGTACCTTGCCTTCCCTCTTGATCACAGACAACATGGCACTGACTCACGAAATCTTAGTGACACGACTGCAAACAAACCATACCACGGGTGGGGCTTGAACCCGCGGTCAGAGAGTAGTTAAACTCCACACCGACTCGTTAGCCACTGGGCCAGCTGACTACAATAAGATTCATCCACCATGGGGCTGTTGTCAAAACTCAGATGGATGGCTGTGTACCACTTGTTAGCTATGTTATCCTTCAAGCACTTGTTACTACTAGGAACAAGTAAACTATGTACACTTGTTCCAGTCTTAGCCAAAGCACAACTGGCTTCTTTGAACAGCAAAAATGTACCGAAATCTATGTAGCAAATGTGCCCACAGAAATATGTCTGCAGATACCAGTCGTAAACAGGTGATCTTAACAATGCAGAACAAGGCATGTAGGGAATGGGAATCTTTAGCTCTAGGTCTTTCACTCTCTTGTGCGTCGTCAGGAGCTATGAAGTGCTGCAACACTAGCAACAGATAGGAGAAATTCTCTAAGGTGAGGCAGGAGCCTATCAGTGGCGGCCGCTGATACACTCCTGTCTCACCTCAGGGAATTTCTCCTCCTATCTGTTGCTAGTATTGCTACATTGCACAGCTCCTGAAGACGCACAAGAGTGCGAAAGATCTAGAGCGAAAGATTTCCATCCCCAAGTGGCCTGTTTTGCATGTCTATAGATTTACTCAGATGAGATGACCCACCGTGCCGCTTCACGTGCTAGACTCCAAGCTCCCAAAATAAAGGGACTGATTGCCTTAAACTCCTCCTAATGTTCCATCTCTCTTCTCTGTACTGGATGGAGGAAGCCACTGGCTGAAGAAACGTTTCCACAATAAAGATTCTCAAATGTTGCCTTCTTCCTGTATCAGGACACACTCGCGCTGGTGCTGACTCCATTCCTCGCTCACATAAACATGAATACACTTCTCTGTTATTCAGTTTGTGAGTAACGAACCTGTGTACCGACTCATATTACAGCGAATATAATCGAGCTAAACGACTCGTGCGGGCTTTGCGCTTTCCATGAATATAGTAATATTATGAACATAAATAATAATAATAATAATAATAATAATAATAATAATAATAATAATAATAATAATAATAATAAATGAAGAAGAAGAAGAAGAAGAAGAAGAAGAAGAAGAAGAAGAAGAAGAAGAAGAAGAAGAAGAAGAAAAAAAAAGAAGAAAGAAGAGGAGGAGGAGGAGGAGGAGGAGGAGGAGGAGGAGTCAAGAAGAGTAGGTCCAGATAGTGTGAGTCAGGAGCGCCACTAGGGAGGGTACTGTACACAGGGTCAGTGATACGTGCTCCTGCAAGACTGAGTCGCTGGTGTCAGTCTGAGCTCACACTGAGGGGTGTGAGTATTTCATACACAGGAAGACGGAAGAGCATGCGCAACATACCTGACACTTGTGAGGGATAGATGCGTAGAAACCATCATGGCGGTTGTCGCAGGTGAAGTTAAACTTGGGGTCGAGCAGATCCTTGGGTAGCCTCTTGTAGAAGGGGTAGGTGCTGAGGTCGTAGCCCAGGAGCTCGTGGGGCAGGTTGGGGTCGTGAATGTAGTCGATCTGAGGGTTCCCCGTCAGCTTGGGTTTCTCCTCCACGGGTTCCGCTGCCCCCTCCGACGTATCCCCAGAGACTGTGGCGTTTTCCTGAGCAGTTGTTAGAGACGCCGCAAACAATCCTGCAAGAAAGAAACAGCGGTTAAGGAGAGTCTAGGGTGAAAAAACTGAACAGCTAGAGTTGATAAATTAGACACATGTGCAATACTTGGGTATCTTTATTGAGGAAACGTTTCGCCACACAGTGGCTTCATCAGTCCATACAAAGAAGAATTGTGAATATCAGAAGGAGTTTGAGGTAATGAATCCTTCAGCCACAAACTCCTTCTGATCTTCACCATTCTTCTTTGTATTTGACTAATGGGGCCATTGTGTGGCGAAACGTTGCCACAATAAAGACACCCAAGTGTTCCTTCCACATGTATCTAATTTAGAAACCTGTCGGTTCTCTAAGCCATTTATCTGCTACTTCGGGGATATTGAATGAAAGGTACAAGTTGCAACACAAGCTTTCACTGGGGCACTGTTTCCTTCTCTGTTTACATCTCTGTCGTGTTTACACAGAGTTAAATGTTGTCCCCAAAAAAGTTTTCTCAGAAACGTGTAAGTTTTCTTCACCATTGTTAGCAGAACTAACACTTTCAACTAACACTTGGAACTAACACTGGAGTTATCTGAGTACATGATGATGATGGAACAGTGTGAGTACAGAAAGTCCTTGGCTAATTAAAGTCCTATAATCGAAGTATCTGACCGTGCCCAGGACGCCACCCAACCAGGTACCTACTTGCTTTAAGCTAACTAGGAACCAACAGCCAGGCACCTATTTGCTTTAAGCTAAATAGGAACCAACAACCAGGTACCTGTTTGCTTTAAGCTAAATAGGAACCAACAGCCAGGCACCTATTTGCTTTAAGCTAAATAGGAGCCAACAACCAGGTACCTATTTGCTTTAAGCTAAATAGGAACCAACGACCAGGTACCTATTTACTTTAAGTTATAGGAGTTTAGGTGCAAGACGGCTTACCCATATGTCTCGCCCTGCCCAGAAATCACACCCGGGTTTTATTAATGGTCCATGGTGAGAGTGATGGTGACCCTGAACTATAGTGAGTGAAAGTGATGGTGGCGCTAAACCATAGTGAGAGTGATGGTGACTCTGGAACACAGTGAGTAAAAGTGATGGTGTCCCTGGATCATAGTGAAAGTGATGGTGTCCCTGGACCATAGTGAAAGTGATGGTGACCCTGGACCATAGTGAAAGTGATGATGATCCTGGACCATAGTGAGTGAAAGTGAATAATAGGAAACAACCAGTGGTAAGAATTATTCTGGACAATGCCCTGACACGAGGCGAAACAACAGCTACATATAGAGGAGCAGATATTGAGAAAAAAAAAAGAAAGTGATAGGTACGACAACAAGATGGTGCTCAGGCAGATCTTAGTCACGACAACACAACTAACACCAGATCATCACAATATCGACCACAATAATCTTAGTCACGACAACACAACTAACACCAGATCATCACAATATCGACCACAATGATCTTAGTAATGACAACACAACTAACACCAGATCATCACAATATCGACCACAATGATCTTAGTCACGACAACACAACTAACACCAGATCATCACAATATCGACCACAATGATCTTAGTCACGACAACACAACTAACACCAGATCATCACAATATCGACCACAATGATCTTACTCATGACAACACAACTAACACCAGATCATCACAATATCGACCACAATGATCTTAGTCATGACAACACAACTAACACCAGATCATCACAATATCGACCACAATGATCTTAGTCACGACAACACAACTAACACCAGATCATCACAATATCGACCACAATGATCTTAGTCATGACAACACAACTAACACCAGATCATCACAATATCGACCACAATGATCTTAGTCATGACAACACAACTAACACCAGATCATCACAATATCGACCACAATGATCTTAGTCACGACAACACAACTAACACCAGATCATCACAATATCGACCACAATGATCTTAGTCACGACAACACAACTAACACCAGATCATCACAATATCGACCACAATGATCTTAGTCACGACAACACAACTAAACACCAGATCATCACATATCGACCACAATGATCTTAGTCACGACAACACAACAAAACACCAGATCATCACAATATCGACCACAATGATCTTAGTCACGACAACACAACTAACACCAGATCATCACAATATCGACCACAATGATCTTAGTCACGACAACACAACAAAACACCAGATCATCACAATATCGACCACAATGATCTTAGTCACGACAACACAACTAACACCAGATCATCACAATATCGACCACAATGATCTTAGTCACGACAACACAACTAACACCAGATCATCACAATACCGGCCACAATGATCTTAGTCACGACAACACAACTAACACCAGATCATCACAATACCGGCCACAATGATCTTAGTCACGACAACACAACTAACACCAGATCATCACAATACGGCCACAATGATCTTAGTCACGACAACACAACTAACACCAGATCATCACAATACCGGCCACAATGATCTTAGTCACGACAACACAACTAACACCAGATCATCACAATATCGACCACAATGATCTTAGTCACGACAACACAACTAACACCAGATCATCACAATATCGACCACAATGATCTTAGTCACGACAACACAACTAACACCAGATCATCACAATATCGACCACAATGATCTTAGTCACGACAACACAACTAACACCAGATCATAAACAATATCGACCACAATGATCTTAGTCACGACAACACAACTAACACCAGATCATCACAATATCGACCACAATGATCTTAGTCACGACAACACAACTAACACCAGATCATCACAATATCGACCACAATGATCTTAGTCACGACAACACAACTAACACCAGATCATCACAATACCGGCCACAATGATCTTAGTCACGACAATACAACTAACACCAGATCATCACAATACCGGCCACAATGATCTTAGTCACGACAACACAACTAACACCAGATCATCACAATACCGGCCACAATGATCTTAGTCACGACAACACAACTAACACCAGATCATCACAATACCGGCCACAATGATCTTAGTCACGACAACACAACTAACACCAGATCATCACAATATCGACCACAATGATCTTAGTCACGACAACACAACTAACACCAGATCATCACAATATCGACCACAATGATCTTAGTCACGAAAAACACAACTAACACCAGATCATCACAATATCGACCACAATGATCTTAGTCACGACAACACAACTAACACCAGATCATCACAATATCGACCACAATGATCTTACTCATGACAACACAACTAACACCAGATCATCACAATATCGACCACAATGATCTTAGTCATGACAAACACAACTAACACCAGATCATCACAATATCGACCACAATGATCTTAGTCACGACAACACAACTAACACCAGATCATCACAATATCGACCACAATGATCTTAGTCATGACAACACAACTAACACCAGATCATCACAATATCGACCACAATGATCTTAGTCATGACAACACAACTAACACCAGATCATCACAATATCGACCACAATGATCTTAGTCACGACAACACAACTAACACCAGATCATCACAATATCGACCACAATGATCTTAGTCACGACAACACAACTAACACCAGATCATCACAATATCGACCACAATGATCTTAGTCACGACAACACAACTAACACCAGATCATCACAATATCGACCACAATGATCTTAGTCACGACAACAAAAACTAACACCAGATCATCACAATATCGACCACAATGATCTTAGTCACGACAACACAACTAACACCAGATCATCACAATATCGACCACAATGATCTTAGTCACGACAACACAACAAAACACCAGATCATCACAATATCGACCACATGATCTTAGTCACGACAACACAACTAACACCAGATCATCACAATATCGACCACAATGATCTTAGTCACGACAACACAACTAACACCAGATCATCACAATACCGGCCACAATGATCTTAGTCACGACAACACAACTAACACCAGATCATCACAATCCCGGCCACAATGATCTTAGTCACGACAACACAACTAACACCAGATCATCACAATACCGGCCACAATGATCTTAGTCACGACAACACAAACTAACACAGATCATCACAATACCGGCCACAATGATCTTATTTCACGACAACACAACTAACACCAGATCATCACAATATCGACCACAATGATCTTAGTCACGACAAACACAACTAACACCAGATCATCACAATATCGACCACAATGATCTTAGTCACGACAACACAACTAACCCCAAAGTCATCACAATATCGACCACAATGATCTTAGTCACGACAACACAACTAACACCAGATCATCACAATATCGACCACAATGATCTTAGTCACGACAACACAACTAACACCAGATCATCACAATATCGACCACAATGATCTTAGTCACGACAACACAACTAACACCAAGATCATCACAATATCGACCACAATGATCTTAGTCACGACAACACAACTAACACCAGATCATCACAATACCGGCCACAATGATCTTAGTCACGACAATACAATAACACCAGATCATCACAATACCGGCCACAATGATCTTAGTCACGACAACACAACTAACACCAGATCATCACAATACCGGCCACAATGATCTTAGTCACGACAACAAAAACTAACACCAGATCATCACAATACCGGCCACAATGATCTTAGTCACGACAACACAACTAACACCAGATCATCACAATATCGACCACAATGATCTTAGTCACGACAACACAACTAACACCAGATCATCACAATATCGACCACAATGATCTTAGTCACGACAACACAACTAACCCCAGATCATCACAATATCGACCACAATGATCTTAGTCACGACAACACAACTAACACCAGATCATCACAATATCGACCACAATGATCTTAGTCATGACAACACAACTAACACCAGATCATCACAAAACCGGCCACGATGATCTTAGTCAAGACGACACATCTAACACCAGGAGATCATCACA